ATGTAGCAGAATTTTTCATTAGAGTGTTTTCTACCAAGTCTATATTTATCTAGCTATAAGCAATTAAAAAATGGATTTATTTCAGGTGAGGTAAGCTAGCTTGTAGCTCACCTGTGTAGCATACATTGGCACAGTTAGTAATGCTATGTCCTAGTGTAGCAGAATTTTCCATTTGCATGTTTAAAAAATTGTTAAGTCTAACGTTATGTAGCTATAAGTAGTTAAAACATGGATTTATTTCAAGTGAGGTAAGCTAACTTGTTGATCAAATTGATTCTGGCACAACTTTGTCTTTTCAGATGCAAATTAGCAAATGGTGTAATTGACTCCATTTGGAATCAACAATCTGGCTGTGACAGCTTTATAGATAGCCGAGGTGAAGAAGGAAGAGGATATGAGAGGGGTTCTTCATGTGGTTCCTTTACATCAGCAGCAGCTTTGTAGCAGCATTTTGCCCCGTAGCCACGACAAACCGAGGACCTTATTACGTCATTGTATTAAAAAAAATAAAAAATTCAAGCAGGCTTCCACGCGGATGATCGTACACCCTGCTTTTTTGTAAATACAATACTTGAGGCCCTACAGCGATCCCTTCAGAAGTGGGAACTGTGGATTTGTTGCGTTTCATGTAATGTACACTCTGTGGTTGAAACTGTAAACGACGTGAGTTCATCATGTGCAAAGGACCACCGCTTCTAATGATGTGCGGTCTCCTCTCTACGATAGAGAAAAGTCTACGTGAAAGCGTTACAGCCGGTGCCCGTAATCTCCCAGTGGCTGCTTTCTGTGCATCTCTTCTACATGTCTAGGTCACTTTGGTTTTACAGGACGCGCCAAAAGGCATTACATGATTTGCGAGGGGGCGGGGGGAATGCTGCATAGGGCTGTTGGACATGTGTCAAAATACAGTCTGAATTCATTTGCACTGGGCTTCGATGTGCAGAAATGAGGAGAGAGGCCACATCAACAACTCCAAATGCATTCCACAGCAAACTAAACATTCAGAGCTTACGTTCTCGCCAAATTACGCTAAAATGCAGCTAGGGTAAAAGGAAGCCGCTCGCTGAAGTCGAAAAAAAAATCTGATCCATACAAATGATAGTTTTCCTTAAAGAAAGTCTGACGACAGATTGATGTAAAGCGTGCTAGACATTATGCCTGTCGTGTGGGACGTGAGTTGGACAGCGCCGCTGCAGACACTGTGAATTGTGGCCTCTTTCCTGACATACCTGTGGCCTGAACCTCCAAACCTTTCCACAGACACACACACAAAAAGCTAATCTCTCAAGATCAGCACTATAAGAACTGCTCTCTCTTCACTGTGTGCAGCCATTCCTCCCACCCTCTTCCCCCTGGCCGTACAGTAATTCCAGGATGTGGGATATGCTCAGTTCAGACGGTGTGCGGTCACGTTATCCTCAATCAGCGTGAATTTTGAGATTAACAACCAGCAAAACAAAGCTTTGGCAACGGGGATTGAGCGGGGTTTAAGGGGGCGTGGGTTGCTTCTAAAGCCCGGCTCACGATGAACCTTTGCGCTGTTCGACCGGCGAGTGATCCTGCGACCACACGCCCCGCAACGGTATTTTTTTGTTAGGGAGTAACACTGTCAGAAGTGACAGGAATGAACCCTGAAGAAATAAGCTGGGGAGAGAAGCTTTTCAGCCTCAAGAGTTCCCCGCTTCTGCCAAGTTGGCTTTCCCATCCTGTCAGCGTTGCACACAAAGCTTGGCGAGGGCGGCCGCAGTGAATGCGACCACGTTAATGTGATTGTCAGTTCGCCGTAAACATATTTAGACTTTGCATTACACAAAAAATACAATGCTAATGTCTTAAGGTGTGGTCCGATGGTTACATAATTTTACAGAACGAAAGAGCTGACAAATTAAAATATGAAACATATGTGATGCATTCGGGCTGCAGAGTTACCTGCCGGGTAGTTTTAAGGCAACTATGGGTGAGACGCTGAACTGAACTAAATCGATACAGCTCTAATTGGAAATAATAACATCTCAAAACACTGGACTGACAGCTGAACACGAGACAAAGATTTCCATTTTGAGGACTTCGGGAGCCAGAATGAGGTTTTCCTTCCTCCTTCATGTCTTCCTGAACTGGTGCCGACTTCAGATGAACCATCACCAGCCCATGTGATACGCAGAGCTGGGATTGTGTATCCCCAGGACTTGTTGTAGTTGATGGAGTGTCACTTTAAACCTCAACCTTACAGACCAGCAGAAACGCGTTCTGATTAGCACTTAATCTACTAATGTCGTCCATTGCGGCGTCGGGAGTACGAACGAGATTGGGTTGAGCCAACATGCCTCTCTGAAGCCTTGGCTCTTAAGGTTTAAGATGAATGTGAAAAAAAGAAAGAGAAAGAAGAAGCCACAGACATTTACTAAGTGATTTTCACCTAATTGCAAACTGTTGCTTGCTCTAGACCCACTTAGCAGTGCTGGGGCTTTTTTTTGAAAGAGAAACCTAATATGCAGATCTATGGCCAGTAAGTGCAGACGTTGCTCTGCTCTGCTCTGGCTCTTAGGTTTTGTCCAGCGTGCTCCGCAATGTTTTATGGAGCGTTGTGGTAGGTCGCTCAGCGTGAACGCCCGCTCGGGTCCTGCGCATGTGATATTTAAAACTTTGGCCGAGATCGGCTCGAGTGTCTTTCGTTTTGGATTTGCCCGAGGACATTTTCCTGTAAATGGGACGCTGAGGAGTTTACATTGAAAGTCGCTCATTGTGGAATGGACCGTCTTTTTACTGGCTCCTTTGTCTTCCGCAGGCGAGCGAGGCCGCGGCCAGAGCCACAGCGGTTTTGAGGGCTTTCATCAGCTGTCTCAGCACAATCATTTAGGAGGCCAGCTCTGACCAGAATTAATGCAATATTCACATCCATAACCAATCATCATCATTTGAATTCTGAGAGGGGAACCAGAGTTTGCATGAATGACAAATTGTTGAGTTGGACATGTTTACTCTGAGTTAAAGAATATCCTACTGATGTATCTATTATGGGTATTATGGTCTGCTTGCGTTGTATTCTGCTGGGCTAGCCCGCCCACAGTTAAATTTTGCCTTTAGTTGTCCCTGTCTGCTAAAAAACACAACAACAAAAAAAAACCCTGACTAGCTGGGTAATGTCAAAGCCATTAAGAAGTGCGTTCAGATTAATTCGTCTTACGAGTTTGAGCTCTGTTATGTAACTACTGTTTCACCAAATATAAGAATGCCGTGTCATGATCCGCATTCTTCTTTTTCTTCCCACTTCTGATCCAAGTGATTTAGGAATATTCATCCACCATCGCCAAGTCCCAGCCCAGCACATTATTAAAATCAATTGCATGTACATGCTTGAAAACTGAGAAGCAGTACAATCCACCCCATTTCCTCCCATGATTTACGTCTTCTTCTTCTTCTTCTTCTTCTTTTTCTTCTTCTTCTTCTCTAGATTCACTAATCAGATTGCACTAAATATACACATTAGCCAGCCTGCCATTTAAATCTGGCAGATGGAAGCAATGTGCACCTGACAGCTGTCTTTAGGTCTAAAAGTGACCAAAGAAATAGGAAAGAAAAAGAAAGTTTTACGTTTTGAAGAACTCCACTTCCTGACCTGACAAGGCGTTCTTCAAAACGTTGAGGAAGAACATCGGACTCAAAGACCAACAACTTTGCAATCTCGTTTTTTTATTATTATTATTATTATTAAATGATGAAAAAGACTGTAAAAAAAAAAAAAAAAAGCTAAGAAAAATCCCACTTGTGCACAGTTGCATCTTGTTAATTGCCCCATAATTAGCAGGACTGTGGGGCAATTTATTAATTCCCCCGTAAAAAAAGGTATTTGATATTGTGGTAAGTCCTGCACCGGACCACCCACATCACTGTGGTCCCTGTGGTCCCTTGCATCACCGTCACAGGGACAGAGTCACTCCTCATTGTCCCACACCCAAGTGGCACAAAACAGGCAGATATAATCAAATATGTTAATATTACGCACACTTTACTAGAGGCCAGAACCAATTTGATCTTTTGCCACATTCTTACAGAAATAATATTCTGTTCCACAAAAAAACAAAAAACACTGGACTGTTACATATGCTAATTTTCCCACTCAATTTGCACAGCTTTGACTTTTTGAGAACACCAAGAAATTTGCTGTGGTTGAGATTTACCTCAACAGAAATTAATGCCTCATTTAAATGTGGCCAATCTGTGCTAGAGCAGAGAGTCACTTGGGGAAGCCATTTCAGGACAAGTTGTTCATTTGTGTCCCGTTTCGGATTAAAAAGCACTCGCAAACTCAGGCTTGTAGCGCCTTTAAATAGTGTTAGTCAGCATGCTTACTCTGTGTTCTGATTGGACTCGGTGTCAACTAGGCATATGTCAATGGAAACAATCGTGTGGACAAAAATGATTATACTTGCTTTTCTTTCCTTACTTTTCCTACAAGCTTTGCTTCCAGTGTGATGATTGTGTTTCATCTGCTGTTTGCACAACTTTTACTATGTTGACATCTGGAATTGGAGGTCTTATGGCCAACACACTCGATCATTCACTGTGAATATTAACAGTAAGGTGGCAATAACTTTGATTAGGATGGGAAAATCTGATTTTTATTTTTTTTTAGCTCAACAAAGTCACATCCATGCCCCCAAAAACACAGTTTTGCATACTAAAGCAGGTTGTGGTTGTTAAGATTGTGCTCCTTTCTTTGCACCCAACTAATATAGTATCCAGTACACCAGCAACCAGGATCAACTTCTGGTGTTCACCATTAAATTAAGCCTTGACCAAGACCCCAAGGCAATATTTACGATTGCATTGGAACCTCCTGAATCCTCAATGCTCTTTCTACAAAGAACGAGGCACTGACGTTACATGATGTCCAATAATGTGAAAGTATTTAAGTACATTATGCCTCTTTTTAACCCCCCCATGATCTTTAGAGATGGGGTCATTTAGACCACACAGGTTTTTTACTCTGTCCGGTGGCATCGCACTGACCCCACATGTGCCTTTACGAGTTTTTTGTTTCATTTGTAGTTTCGGGAATTGACGGTCTGACGGGACAACCTCCCGCTTCCCCGCTGTCTGACCGTGACATTTGTCATCAGCTAAGACCGCGAGAGGGTTAGTGTATCCAGCTGTTTTGTTGCTCATTGACAAACATTTGCGACTATAGCTGAAAGATTTCAGTGTGAACATTAAACACATGTTTTTTATTGAAGCATTTCACAGTCACACTGGACGGATTATGGCTGATATTGTCTCATTTATCATTCTTCTTCCTCTCTTACAGCTAGCTATGGAGCTTACCCCATCTGTAAGGGCTGCTCGGTGTGCTCCAGGGATAACGGCTGCGTGAACTGCCAGCCCAAACTCTTCCTGTTCTTGCGAAGGGAGAGGATGAGGCAGTACGGCGAGTGTCTTCACGACTGTCCAGCCGGATACTACGGCATGCGCAGCCCTGAAATCAACATGTGCTCCAGTAAGGACCCCCACCCTTCACCCCAAACTCTTCCTCACCTTCAATCCCACCATGCAGGCCTCAACTACACCCCCATTTTGGTTTCCCCCATTTTCCCACAGTGCTCGATTTACTGTCAGTTATCAAGAGGAGACACACATACCTCACAATTTGAATGGTTTGTCTGTCCGCGCAGGTTGACGTTAGTGAAGCTTCATCTTAGCATCGCATCCCTCGGGATGAGCCTGCTGTTTCTCATCCGTCTGTAACACCATCCTAACCCTTTAATGCAAAACATGCCCAAGTTATGAGGCTGTCTAAAGGTACAGAAATCCAGGAGAAGTCATAAATAACTCACTATTCTGAAAAAACAGCTTTACTTCAGTTTGTGCTTCTTTTTCCACGATGCTATCTCAGATCATCAAATAAATGTTAATAGTAGGAAAATTCCAATTTTTAATGATTTCATTAAATAAGATAAAAAGTTATTCAAATTAACCCGGCTCTGTGTGATAAATAACTAATTGACTCATGTTAAATTATAAACGAACTATCAAAGATATGACAAATTTAGTTTTCACCACTGAGTGCACGATGACACACCTGAGAGGTCTTAGAAGAGCTCAGAAAAACAGTTCACTACGACCTTCACTTCCCTTTGGCTGTGATCGGATTAAAGAAAGAGCTCCCCACCCCCGAAAAAAAATATATTAGCAACCATTTCACAGTTCAAAGGCTAAAGCCACAACTGACCAAAAACCAATATTTTATTTGCCAAAAAAACATTTTCATGAGCCAAAGGCAAAAATATTTTCGCCGATGGATGAGACAAAAGTGGAAAACAGGTGAAGGAAATAATGAATTTAAAACAAGCATGAACTCTTTCGCCTGGAAAAGGATTTACGAGGAAGACTGAATGTAGTTTTCATTGCCTCAGTTTTATTTACTGTTTCCGAGATGAAAGCATTTTCCATATTTTGGCAATCGTCACTCCTTTGTTGCAGATTTTTTTTATGGCATGCAAAACACTTTTGGTCTCTGGCTTTAAGAGAGGCCACACCTTTGGTCTCCGTGGCTCCGAGGAATTTCTGGTTTACAGTTAATGAAAAATCCAAACAATAACACTGACAAATCAAAATGTTCTCAAGCGTAGTTGTTAAAGAATAACACTCAAATCCAATTAATGAAAAGTACCTTTCTCCTCCTTATGTAGCACCCTGATCTCATAACCTTATGTTAACATTGATTATGCTCGGAGAGACGGAGAGGGACTTTGTAGGTTTATGCAGAGCCCGAGGTGTTGGCTGAGTGTTTCGTATGAAAACAGTGAGAAACTTGAAGCTTTTTGGTTCCCTGAGCCAAACTTCTGACAGACGCACTAAAAACGTATCCCCAGCGGAGGGTATCTGAACCTTAAGGCTGAAATATATGAACATGTAGCAACTCCTGAGACAGAAAAGTACTACATTCTGCTTACCCGATCACAGCTGACCTAGAAACAAATAAATCTTTTATGTTAATTATATCTGCAAAAGTGAAACACAAGTTAAAGAAAAAAAATATATAAGTAAGGTAAATAGTGAGACATACAATAGGCTACGTCACCGTTGGTCGAAAATGCGATAAAAGTAGAATTTAATGCTATTAACCCTACGGAAGTTGCGAGAGGCATGCTCAACAGTTTTGTTCTTTCACTTTCCCAATAATTTAATTTACAATTTGGGAACTGCCTGTAAGATTTCAGCTGCTCCTTAAGGTTTCATGTCCGGTCTTGAGTAGAATACTGTTCTGCATTTTGCAGATTTATCTCTGTTTCAGAACAACTTCTTTAAACCAATGATTACTGAGAAGCTTCTGTGGAACTTGCTGACAGTCTGAGGAGGCAATTCAGTCATTTGAATCAGATGTGTTGGAGTAGGGACAGATCGAAGCGCCTGCCCACGCCAACACGAATAGCTTGCAAAAGGAGATTTTTCTGCTACGTTTAAACACCGAAAAACACAGTCTTGGGTAAGAAAAGCTGATTTTTATTTACATTTTTTCAAAATCGGAATGCTCGTTGCACATGTTAAACATTCCCAAATTCTTTAATCTCTCTAAAATACACAATAGTGGTCAATAAAGAATATATATTTTTCCCAAGTAACTTCATCCAGACTTGAAAAAACCAGCAAGCGGCGGGTTTTTGTCCAGACACACGTCTGTTTGCTAAATCAGCACCACAGCTCCCGTCCAGTTTTATTAATACTTAGCATATTAGAAGGAACGTCCTATGCTCCTCAGACATTATAAACTGTTGTCGTTTCTTACTTAACTGAAAGAGAAAGACATCTTGTTCTTGGGTAATAAAAGCGATTTTATTTACGTCAACTGAAGCATGGAGAACCACTGTATTCCCATCGTGTTTGAATTTTGACCAGCAGTTTCTGATGCTTGGCTGGATAATCTGGACCCTTTGCCTTACACAGCGCTGTTAGAGCAGCATCTTGTATTGTCACGTAGCATTAGATCTCAGGACGAGGCTCACTTTGATGCGATCGCTGTTTCACTCAGTGCTCTTTAATCCAGTTTTGGATTTGGCCTTCTTCCTCAGCTGCTCTCCATGTGTCATCTTTTGTTTTTGTTTTTTAAATTAAACGATTCAAGTCCAGTCTCCATGAACTGATCTTTTATTGGTTTAGATGTAAAATTATGTTGTTTTTTTCTTGAGCTAGTCCAGCTAACTGGTTCCCAAAGGCTCAAATATGCCTACAACAAACGACAGTGAGAAATTAATGGCCGCGGCAGTGAGAGCCGCCTTGCGCTTTTGGTTTTTGCAGGGGCCCGGAGCTCGGTGTTACGACTCTGTTGTCATGAGCTTTTTAAACATGACTTCTAGAAATCACTGAAGGAGCAGCAGATGCTTGTTATTATCCCATAGTTTGTCTGTGTGAGCTTATCTCATTCAAGATTTTTTTTTTTTTTTTTTTTTGTGGACTCCCTGACTAAAGAAAAACAAAAGCTAGACAAGGATAAGGTCTACACACTCAGCCACTTACTGGGCTGAAACCTCACTGTTTTTCGGCAGGGGTTCTGTAGGATCCACAGGCATGTAACACAAAGGTCTTTAGATGGGGAGAGGAAATGTACTGCTGGAGAAACAAAGTCAAGCAAGAAACTCCCAAAAAAGAATGTCTCCTTTTGAGAAAGATCAGTCAATTGCAAACAACAAGCATACTTT